GTTTTTTGGTTTTTCTCCGGTACCAGGAACCGAACTCACGACCTTGCACTTGCCAGGCAGGCGCTTTGCCGCTGAGCTAAATCCCCAGCCCCTGAAGTGTTTTTTGTTTGTTTGTTTGGCTTTTCTTTTGGTACAGGGAATCGAACTCAGGACCTTGTGCTGGCCAGGCAGGTGCTTGCGCTTCTGAGCTATATCTCCGACCCTGTTAGAAGCAAAGTGGAAACCATAAGCTTCAGAATCCTGCTGGGCCAGTAACAGTCAGAACAGCACACAGCTTTAGTGGGGTTGCTGGATCAAGCCAAGCCTGAAAGCCACTTGCCCATGACTCTTCACTGCTGCACACCAGTTCAGCCTTGCTGTTCAAATCCCTGTCGTGTGTTTTCCGTCCCACGTGAGAGCCAGGGCAGGGTCCAGGTCTGAGTCTCTCCTGCCCCACGGAGTCCAACCTGGGCCGACGCCTGGGACCCCTTCTGTTCCTGGCCACCTTTGGTTAGGGACATCACCTCTTCGGCCTCAGTTCTCTCCTCTGACCAGTGGGGAGAACGACAGCCCCAGCTCCCCAGGGTCTGGGTGACGTGGGGCTGGCGGAGCTCTGGCCTAGGCGCCTCCTGGGTCCCAGTGGGGGCTCGGCCCCAGCTCCAGCAGCGCTCCTGCCCAGCTGCCCGGATCCTCGAGGGAGGCTGCACCAGGCACCGCTGCCCGGGCTGCATGTGGTGCTGACTCGCGGCCAACCACTGGCCCGCTTCCCGGGCCTGGGAGCCAGCGGCCGGCCTCCCTCGGGTGGGCTGTCTCGGCCGGTGTCTGCTGCCAGAACGGCCCCAGGGCCAGCGGGAGCAGGTCCTTCCACCGCGGCCGCCCTCTCTCCTGCTCACACTCCCACCTGGGCTCCCTAGTGCCTTCTCCGCCTCCGCTCTCTCTTCCCTGGCTCACATGGCTGCGCGCCCTCCCCGGGTCCTCAGCCCACTGGGTGTCTCCTGCGGGCACCGGGGCCGAGATGCCACCCAAGAGAGAGCCAGGCGTACGCGGGGGCTCAGGGGCAAGGACCGCGACAATGAAACACCGCATCGCTCGGTACGCCTGGTGCGGACAGTCTCAGAGACCTCGAGTCCGGAGAAGATGGAAACTCCATTCCCTTCCCCAGATGGAAACTGAGGCTCAGAGAGGCAGAGTCGCGTGCTGGGGGCCGATTCAAAGCGCTCAGCTGCTCAGCCGCTCCCAGCCGGGCTGTCTATGCGGGAGGGCGGGGGCTGGTTTCTATTTTCCTTTGCTCATCGGCGGCTTCTGCAGTGAGCTGAGCACCTCGTGCCATTAAAAAGAACTGAAAATAAAGGTAGGCGCCTCGTGCTATGAAAAGACACCGAAAATGAACGTGGGCGCTGCTGTCAGAGCTCCACGGGGGCGGATTCCGCAGTGGTCAAGCCTCTTACACTGCTGCCGACCGGGCTCAGAGAGGGACAGCCCTCGGCGCGTCACACAGCCACTCAGAGGCCGACCTGGGGTCTAACCCTTATGGGGAGGGTGGAGGCCAGGGATAAGGGGGTTCAGTCCCTTTAAAAAGGATGGGGGGAAGCAAATGGGTTTGTCACCTGGGCAACCAGTCACCTAGCAACAGGCTTCTGCACGCTCAGGGCCTTGCAAGTGAGGAGGGGGCTTTCTGCCCGGTCCTCCCCGACTCCGGGGTCTCTCCTGCTCCCACGTCCTCCACGGCTCCCACTGGCCTGGCCCTGAGGAGGAGCCCTCGTTCCTTGACCCTGCCCCGCCTCACACCTCTGGGCGCTGGCTGGCTGCTCTCTGCCCGGGGTCCCGGTCACAGCCGAGGGTAGGGGGTGGAGGGGGCGGAGCGCAGCCCCCAAAGCCCGAAGCCCGTAGCAGACCCAGCTCGGGGTCCTGGCTCCTTCCCGGGGTCCCCAAGGCTGGGCTCAGCCACGACCTTGCAGGGCTGGGGGTCAGGATGCTCTGAGCCCCCCGCCCGGGACTGCTCTCTTCGGGCTGGGATGTGGCTCTCAGGACCAGAAGCTGGTCCCCGAGCCAGCTGGGTGGGCGGGCCGGAGGGGAGGGCGGGCGGAAGGGATGGAAACTGCGGGCCACACACATATCCGCACTGGCCCGGCCTGCATGGGGAAGGGCGGCAGGGCCCTGGGGTCCAGCGAGGAACCCCAACTCTTCAGGGCGGGGGCACGAGGACCTTCCCGCTGGGCTGAGCCTGGGTCCTGGCCCCAGGTTGGAGGCACAACTCTGCACTTCACCACCGAGCAGTTTTCAGGTTACAGAGCCCTGCGCTGGGCCTCAGTTTCTCCAGGGTTAAGCTGTGAATCACTTGCCCAGGGTACAAAGCCTGCGAGGGCTGAGGTGTGGATTCGAACCCAGCCTGTCTCTTTCCATTTTAAACCCTATGTCCTGCAGACCCACTACCTGCCCAAGGCTCTGTGCACAAGACAGTCTCCCCATCTCCATAAAAGTCCCCGTCCAGAGCCCCCACCAAAATAAGGCACTTTGACCTTTGCAGATCCCTTTCTCCATGAAGTAGAAATTTATTTATTTATTTATTTATTTATTTATTTATTTATTTATTTATTTATTTATTTATTTATTTATTTGTCTTTTTGAGACAGGGTCTCATTATGCAGTTCAGGCTGGCCTTGACCTCACTTTGTAGCCCAGGCTGGCCTCGAACTCGCAACAATCCTCCTGCCTCAGCCTCCCGAGTGCTGGGATTACAGGCATGTGCCATTACACCAGGCTTGAAGAAGAAATCTAAAATTCTATTTTACAACAGTATTAGCCTGCCTCGCATTGAGCTGCTTCCCCAGCCCTTTTCTACTTTTAGAGAGGGTGTCACAAAGTCCCCAAATTCGCCAGTCTGGGCTTCAATTTGTGATCCTTTGCCTCAGCTTCCCACAGTGCTGAGATTACACGTTAGCCACCATGCCTGGCTGTAATTAATATTAGACATCACATCTTCATTTACAAGGCCACCTCCTCCCACAGTCTCCTCTGATCTTCCCCAAGGGTTCAGCCCATTTCACAGAAGGATAAAATGAGGCAGCAGAGTGAAAGCCACACGGGAAGGCGGCCTCAAACCTGAGGATGTCGCATTCCCAGCCCAAATCACCCGTGTCCCATGCACCAGGGACAGAAGACGCTGACCGTGGCCTTCCGCCTCCTCCCCCTGGACCCCGCCCAAGGCTTGGCTCCTCTGGTGTGGGTGACGGTATGTGGGTCAGGGTGTGCCCTGGGCAGCGCCACCGGTGAGACGGGGTGGCTGAACCGCGGTGCTGCCGGATGGACGGTGCGGGGTGACCTTTAGGTCAAGCAGGACAGTCCCCAGGCTGCGCTCAGCTTCTCCAGCACGGCCTGGGTGTGACCGTCGACCCACTTCGCAGAGTGGCAAACTGAGGCCCACGGGCCAGCGAGGCCCCTGAGGGGTCTCCAGACCCACTGCGCTCTCGACCCCAGCCCCGCCTCGGAAGCGAAGGATGGGGTGTACCCGGCTCCAGGTGGCCGGGTGAGCTCAGAATCTAGGAGGCCTGTCTGAGGCCCCCGACCTCAGCTTCCCAAGAGGGCGCGGGGCTCCGGGAGGCGCCGCGCGGCCCAAGGTCACCAGGGAAGCAGGGCACGGGGCTGCTCCTGTGCCGAGCGCGGAGCGGCCGCCCACCCAGCGCAGCCGCCAGCCTCCTCCAGCCAGGCCCCAACTCCCAGATCTATCTTCTTCGCTGCGGACAGACGCTGGGTGCCCCCCACGCTGAGAGGGGCCCCGCGGAGCAGGCTCCCGGCCGTCCAGGCCCGGCCAGCCCCTACAGGCTGTGGACCCCACGGTCACCTCCTTCCACGAGTCTAACCCAGGGCTCCCTACAGGCTGCCGGGGAGAGACGCCCACCCCGGCCTGAGGGGCTGCGGGGAACGGATGGGGGCAGGGGACCTCCAGGTCCTGCAGCTG